TTCTAGCTAAGTATAATAAGTTATATAGATTTAAATAGTTAGGTTTAAGAAGCTCTTAGGAGCTTTCTTCTAGCTATATATATTATTTAAACTCTATAGTTAAGTCTTAGAACCCCTCTCTATTAATAAGCTTATAAATACTTATAATTAGTCTATCTAGATATAGAATCTAATATATATTATTATCTAATATATTTTCCCTTTATTAGCCTTAATACCCCCCTATTTATATTACTTATTTATAGCCCTAAAGAACCCTGTTTTTAGCCTAAATCTTAGCTTTAACTTAGTCTATATTAAGCATTAAGAGGGCACTACTTTATATTAAAATTTAAGTTTTAAATACTTAATATATATTATTTTTCTTAAAACTTAACTCTTTATACCTTAAGTAATATTTCTAAATTTAAGTTTAAGATCTTAATAATTAATTTTACTAAATAAGATTTCTAAACTTAAGTTTAAAATTTTAATAACTAATTTTTATTAAGTAGGATTTTTAAACTTAAGTTTAAGATTCTAATAATTAATTTTTATTAAAATATATTTCTAAACTTAGGTTTAAGATTTTAATAGCTAGTTTTTATTAAGTAGGATTTCTAAACTTAAGTTTAAAATTTTAGTAATTAGTTTTTATTAAATAGGTTTTATAAACCTAAGTTTAGAATTTTAGAATTATAGTTATTTCTACTTCCCTTAATATAAATAGATTTTTTTTCTATATAGCTAGCTTTAATCTTAAACCCTTAATAACTATTTCCTTATATTATAATATAATAAAGTATTTTATTATTTATTATTATAATTAATATGTATTTTAAATCCTTATATTTAAAGAAAACTTCTAAATATTCTTAAAATATTCCTAAACTTAATTAGATTTTAAATAAGTTATTAAATAGCTAATTATAATATTTACTAATTATTTTATATCTTATTAATATATAACTTATACTATAGTTCTTCTATATTAAGTAAGTCCTTATTATTCTTATAATCTTATAGTATAAATTTCTTCTTATAGCTATTTAATACCTAAATAAGTTATTTAGCTACTATTCCTATTTTATAAGTTATACTAAAAAGGTATTAAGCTATTATATTTATATAAACACTAAATATATTATATATTTAGTTTATAATAATAGTATCTTGTCTAAACTATATATAATTTACTATTAAAACTAATTATAATATATTTAGCGTATTATAATAAGTTTTATAAAAATCTAGAGTAGGGTAGAACTCTTAGATAGTAATTATACCTGCTCTTAAGCTATCCTCATCCCCTTCGCTCTTACTATGCTGCTGATCACCCTACTAAAACGTCATACAGCCTGGAAATCAGCAATGGCGCGATGGCTTCTTTTCAGCGACCTCCACTTTCGGCATGTTGACCTGAATCGGATCCTTGAAACGTCTCGATGGATTGCAGCACAGGCAGAGCGACACCAGGTTGGCCGGGTCATCATTTGCGGCGATTTGCTAACAAGCCACGCAACACATCGAACGAGTGTGCTGTCCGCATGTTATCGATTCATCAGCCTTCTTAGCGATATCGTTCCGCGAGTCCATATCATACTCGGCAATCATGACCTCGGCTACCGTTATGATTACCACACTACAGCCCTTGACGCTTTCAACATCAGACGCCTGACTCCGTATGTGTCCCTACATGGGACTGTCACTAAGCTCGAGTTAGATGGCCGACGCGTGTTGCTGCTGCCGTTCCGGGAGGACCAGAATGAACTCACAGAGGCAGTCTCTACCCTCGGATCTATGGAGGGGAACAAGACTGTTGCATTTGCGCACCTGGCAATCAATAAGGCCATCATGCAGCGATATGTGGTACGTGCTGACGTCGACGACCCTCATCCCGCAAACTCTATCACGCACCACGGCTTTCTAGGTGCAGATCGATTTTCCTCACTTGCGCGAACATTCACAGGGCATTTTCACAGTCACCAGACTCTTCACCAGAAACAACCCGGTACCAACAACGATAGTCTACGAGGAAGTGTCACGTATCTGGGATCGCCACTGCAGCTTAGCTGGGCCGATCTCAACGACGAGAAGCGGGGCATCGTCTTGTTTGATCCTCAAACGCTCGAGCATGAGCTACTCATCAACCCATTTGCTGTTAGCTACGTGACAGCGGACTTGGAGCAAGTACTTGACGGCCAGATCCACGAGAGTGCCGTAAGGGACAAGCATGTTATGCTCATCGGCCAGCTCACCCACCATAAGTATGTTACGGCTCGTGACAAACTGGTGTCCCTAGGCGTGCGGAGCGTACGGAAATGGAGCCCTGTATGCTTTTCTCTGACTATCGACCGATCTTCGTTCGGTGGTCTCGGCGGTTGGGTGCCGCTCAGCGATGTCGCTCTCCAATCCTCGGACAAGATAGATGAGATGGATCAAAACGCAACGAGGCTCGAAGCATCGAAGTCTCTGCCCAATGCCGGATCTGGAATTGAAAGACTTGATCTCGCCGCCGAGACCCGCAAATTCGTGGAGTTGGTGGATTTGGACGAACGTCTTCTCCTTCGACGAGACCAGTTAGTTCGAGTTGGCCAGCGTCTGATTCAGACATCCGCCGACGCCCTCGAACACGACGCGGAAGTTGAGATAAGATACGGGGAATTACTCGACACTTCATTCAAGCCTGCCAACACGAGAACCACCAGTGAGCCAGCAAGTGCCCCGACCCATATATTTGTCGCCGAGCCCCGCAGGCTTATGATTACCAACTTCCTCGGTGTGCAAAACACAATCACCATCAACTTCGAGCTGAATCTCCCTCGGGGGTTGACTTTCATAGTTGGGAACAATGGCTCCGGTAAGAGCACTCTCGTGGAAGCGATGACATGGTGTCAGTTTGGGAAGTGTATTCGCAGCCGAGTGGCAATCGACGAGGTCGTCAACGACGTTATAGGCAAGAACTGCTGTGTCAAGTTGGATTTTGCCAACGGATACACCATTGAACGGTACCGTAAGCACAAGAGCCACAAGAATCGTGTTATTGTCTCGCTGCGTGGCGAGCCGCAGCTTCAGGTCAGAACACAAAAGGCAATCGACGAGCTTCTTGGCACAGACTACGACAAATATACCAAAACGGTTGTGCTCAGCAATGAAAGCGAGACTGGATTTTTGAACCTCAAACCAGCAGACAGGCGCCAGCAAATCGAAGCATCGCTTGGGCTCTCGGTATTGGATGCGTCCGGCCAGTTGTCAAGCAAGCTCCTTGGCAGCATCGACGCCGACATCAAAGAGATGACGGCCAAGGTTGCAATTTTTATGGAGAAAATCAACGCCAGTGAGAACCATCTGGACAATTTGAACCGAAGGGCAAAACAATTTAAAGCTGAGGCTGAGGAAGCTAATGCATCATTACAGGTAGTCATGCAAGATTATAGAAGCATGCGCCTGAATTACCCGGAGCTTGATACACGCCTGCCTAGCGACATATCGAAACTTCAGAATCGAATTCACGAAGAAAAACATCGTTTGCAGCAACTAGAAAGTTCGTTGAAGCATATGCGGGAACAGAAGCACCTGGAACCAACTACAAGGCGAGGCTGGCGACTACAGCAAATAAGTCAAAGGCTGAAGCAGATGTCCACGCACCATCATACGGGGCTTGGCAATTTCTTTCGATCCATGAGGACGTCCATTCTCTTATTCCTCTCAAATATCCTCTTGAGTACCTTTCGCGCATTCGGGTTTCCTGGCAGCTCTGGAGGTCCAACCGCTGTCCCAAAGTGTGATCAAGAGGCAGCTATCTCCCGTCTCCTTCAAGACATTGAAAATAGCAAATTGCAGTTGCATAGTCTGATAGAGCAGGAAAATAAGGCGACCATTCACGCTGCAATGGTCCAAACACAAAAGGCATGCAAAGCCCTACAAACACAAGTAACAACTACGCAACGTAACGCGGCAACATACGAAGGCCTACTTGAGACTGAGAAGTCAGCTCTTCAGCTCCTACGCTCTGAACACGATACGTTATCCATGAAACACAACGCCCTTTCCACCGACCGCGAGCTTTTTGAGTTCTGGAGCTTAGCTCTAGGCAAGCGCACTCGACAGGTCTCCTCGACCTCCTTACCCAGTTCTATAGCAAAGCCAGCAGCAAACTTTCGGGACCTTATCCTCTCAAAGTCATTGTCAGAGCTCAGTCCGCTCCTTTCTCAGGTTCTCACGGTGCTGTACGATGATACGCGTCACGTGAATATGGCGACTGGGATGCTACGTTCGCTATTAGACTCGGAGACTGCCGACGCTGCAACCGATACATCTGTCTCGGGATCTGCTCTCAGCTCGAGTCTAGCGTCTAATAAACGGTCAGGTGGGAACTACAACAAGCGCTCAAGTGGGGAGCGAAAGCGTTTCGACTTGGCACTTTACTTTACACAGCTACAACTCGAGCGGTCCAGATGTACACACCGCACGCACTACGTGCTTGTCGACGAGGTGCTCGATAATCTAGACAAAGCAGGCCAAGCGGCGGTGCTCAGGTGGTGCGACTTCATGTCCGAGGCTTTAGTCGAAAGGATCATAGTTATCACGCACAGTGAATCCTTAGTTTATGGAGATCACGGTGAAAATCCGAGCAAGGTTTTCGTTTTAGAAGCAGAAATGGGGCAAAAAGGCACGGAGCTGTCTGTTCAAGGAAGTAGGATTGGCAGAGATTGAAAAGGACATAATAGTTGCTTTTATGCTATGAACGATCATTATTTTGCTTCTAATCGAATCAGAGTGGTTTTAGCTGGGGGTTTCGCTACACGTAAGGGACTGCTAATGAGTGACGGAGTGCTGCTCAAAAAGGTGAAGCTTTAAAATTGCTTGAGGAGGCTCAGATTTGTGATATTAAGCAAAGTTGCAGTCGCCACGAAAGGCTGCCGTGCGAGTTTTCCATGGCTTCCGCCTTGCTATATAGCACGCATTAACCATACTTCGTTTTACAAGTGTGTTGAAAACTTGACGTTAAACCACTTCACTCACATAACTCCCGACCGACGGAACCTCTGACTTCCTGTTTCGCGTCCCCTCCAATGTAAACCTAGACTCAAGCGTCTTGTCCATACTATGTTTGCGAATCACCAAGCTAGTGATGAATCCAGAAGCAGCCGTTGCCGTCATTACCCAGAACACGCCCTGGAACCCTTTCACGTAAGCGGACAAAGCTCCAAGCCGTACCGGATCCCAAGAGGCCATGCCAGCCAACTCTGTTGCAAATGCTTCGGCATTCTGAGCAATAGTCTCGGGTAAACCGAGCTCGCGCAATCGATTGGCCATGACATTCTGGAATGTGGTGCCCCCGACCGCGACGCCAACGCTCATTCCTAGCGTGCGCATGAAGGCGTACATGCATGCAGCTCGACCGCAGTCTTCGATGCGACTGATGGCCTGGGTACCGACGTTGACGCTCGTGAGTACCATGCCATTTCCGATGCCGAAAACGGCGAAGTAGGTGGCCCACAATGCAGTCGTCGTATTCTCGTCCAACAGAACAAGCAGGCCGCATCCTACCGTCGCAAGAGCCCAACCTGACCAGATCGCCCAGCGGAAGCGGCCAAGCCGTGAGGTCAGCACGGACACGACTATAGAGCCCGGGAGAAGGAGGCAGGTCACAGGAAAGAGGTTGAGACCTGATTGAGTGGGCGCAACAAAGCGGACTGAGATGAAGTAAAACGGGATGTAGTATAGCCCGCAGAAGAGGAGGAATCCTTGGCAGAAGGCTCCGAAGTAGACGGCAACCGCGGACCAGGAGTAGAAAAGAGAAGGGCGGAAGAAAGGCTCTGCTGCGCCGTATTTCTCCCAGAACAGGCAGGTGGATACTGCTACAGCGCCAACAATAATGGGAGCAATGGTGGCGGCGGAGGACCATGGGAACTGGACGCCGGCCCAGGAGATGCCAATGAGAAAGCTCGTCATGCCACCAATGAAGAGGAGACCGCCGATTCCATCAACTCGGAGGAGCTTAGAGCCAAATGAGGCCTTGTCCGTGGAAAGACGGACAAATAGGGGCACCATGATAAAGCCTAGAGCGCAGAATGGCAACTGTGGGGTACCACTGATGTCAGAGAAATGACGGATGTCACATTGACAGTCAAGAATCTCACTCACATTTATGTAAAAGCACCATTTCCATGTCGCTTTCTGCACAAATAACCCGCCGACCAGTGGTCCCAGCACACTCCCAAGAGCCCAGGCACCCAGCACAAAACTGAAGTATTTGGGTCTCAACCTCAATGGGACGATGTCTGCGAAGATCATCTGGCCCATTGTTATGATGCCACCACCACCTATCCCCTGCAGCGAGCGTCCAGCCAGCAAGACCGTAAAATCGCGTGCGAAAGGGGCACAGAGTAGAGTGCCAAGGGTAAAGAAGGCGAGGGAAACAAGGAGTAGTTCTTTACGGCCGAAGATGTCAGAGAGAGAGCCGATAAATGGCTGGAAAACGGCGCAAGGTAGTAGATAAGATGTGCCAGCCCAGAAGGCATCGGTCGCGGAGCCGTGAAGGTCGAGGGCAAGGTCCTGACGCACAGAATTGGGGTCAGTATGGTAGTTCAGGGAGGAACGAAAATTGCGGAACGAAAGAAAAGGCAGCCTCCTACAGGTAGCACTGGAACTAAGATCGTAGCATCTAAAGCTACCATTAGAGAGATGACAGATATGGTAGCCATGACTGCGTATTCTGCCCGACCTGGCTTCCACTCCAGCTCTTGTTGTTGGTCTTCATTCGCGTTCGAGGTCGTTGCCGGGGAAGTGTCCAGCGAAGTGACGTGCTCTGTTAGGGATCCTGAGTTTTTGGACATGATAGACAACATCATGATAAGGAAGAAATAGTAACTAGGGAATGATGTTGCTCAATGGTGCTTCGATGGAGGGGGGCAAGTCTCATTGATGTTATAAAGATCATGGGGAACAATATTCACAAGCTTTAAGTGGCACTGATCAAAAGACTTCAAGGCTGGCCTGTAGACACACAACAATTAACTTTAATACATCTCATATGACATTAGACATTGGAAGGAGTCTCAAGACCTTTGGTTCGTTGAAATCTCGATATTACAGTCGGATACGGCCGTTCGCAGCATGATTTGAAGCAACCCATAGCAGCCACACTGATAACAGACAAGCTGAAGATGCCGATCTTGGCACCATCTCCGTGAGCCCTGAGACAGGCACATATACCTCTCCGATATGGATGTTTCCTCCCTTGAAAGTAGCACCCGAAAGCAGCCGCTTGGGTATTGAATTTTGAGTTGCACTCTCCTCGTGGCGGGCGCTAAGGTAAGCCTGTCTCAGTCTTTAAAGAGATCAAGGTTAGACACATCGTGCCACGACCCAAACGAGTGGGAAATCTAGATGTCGTTCGAGAAAAGAAGATGCAGTTCTAGATTCAAGGCTTCTTCGCAATCGAACAACTGAAAGCTTACGAGTCTTCATTTTGTTCACCAATCACCAGTTCAATGCCATAATATTTTGACGTTCACTAGGTAGCCCGGCATTATGCGAGCGGGATAGCAATTGGCTTCCGAACACGTTATGATTGAACAACATATCTTGGCCGCTTCTTTGTCTTGTTGTCCTTGAACGCTTCGAATGAAGATATTGGGTCCAAGAGTCAAGTCATTATGGGTGAGGATCTGGTGGTAGCCTGTTCCATAGGTAGCCGTATCCCGGAAGCAGTGTTGTGACCCGGTAGATTGGGTCGTGCTCCACCAGATAGAGTTAACGACCGCACCCGTAAGACATTGTCCGATTTTCTTACCAGCCAGGCGGGCCTGCCACAAGCCACGCAGCGCCTAGGCCCACTGAGCATCCTCACACTTCCAAGCGCCTGCCAAGCGCCTCTGCCGTGGCTGGCTGGCTCGTCCGGCTCGCAGACCTGGCTGACGCCTCATCCTGGAGATGGATAACAGCGCCTGCCACCATCTGTCCTTTATCTGGCTCCCAAGCCAGCCGCTCATTGGTCAAGTTCCGAGGCCTGCATCTTGGATGCTCTTCTCAATGGCGATAGCTGAGCTCAGTGCCATGGCACTCTATGTGTTGAACTCGACGCGATAAGCGCGAATTGTAAGCGTTGTGCCCCAGCTTGCTCTGGAAGAGGCTGGCGCGGCACAATCTCCCAATTTCGAAGAATTTAAAGAACGTTTGCAGTGTCGGCAATGCCACCATAAGCCTTCCGTGCTCCTCTAAGCGACTGACTGCATATTGATATCGACTGTTGCAGGTGGAGTCAATCGCTATACAGGCCGTGAGTGATCTTGTAAAGCTTTTTTCCATTTTCACTTAAATTGTGAAGTGACCTGCCTCCAGACCACGGATATTTTATGATGAGTTCGGTCATAAAAATACTACACTAAGAGTTATATAACTGGCATCTTTGTACTCTGTCTGCCTTGCGTTGCTCTCATCTCTGTTCTATCTATATCTCTCTTAGAGCAATCCTTTTCACCATGGGAAGATCTTCAGCTCGCTGGGCCCTGTTAGGCTTCAAAGCCCTCGCACCGTCGACATTCATCCAAGAAGCTCCTCGGTCTTCCTCATCCATATCCTCAACATCTTCAGACCTCAGCTCCATCTCCTTGGAAAGCATCAATGAAGAAAGCCCTTCGCTTATCGTCCTCACCTCCTGGACGGGTGCAGACCCGAGAAACGTTGCCAAGTACACGAAGATGTATAACGAGATCTACCCGAAGACTACTATCATGGTCATTACAACGATAATACATGATCTCGTATTCCGCTCAACCAAAGAGAAGGTTGCTACACTAGAGCCGGCTGTCGAGTTCCTCCGGAGACATATCAGCACACAGTCTAAGCGACCTACCATGTTACTACATGCATTCTCAGAGGGAGGGTCAAACAAGGCCGTCTGCCTTGCCCGAGCATACCTGGGTGCTACGGGTTGTCGATTACCCGTGGGTGCTTTCATTTTTGATAGCACACCAGGCAGGCCACGGTTCTCGTGTAATGTGGCCGCCTTCAAGAGGTCACTGCCTCGCAACAAGGTTGTCCGTGCTGTAGGCTTCCCGGCTGGCGCTGTCGTATTGGGCATGGTGTATGGAACGTATCATGTGCTGAAGGGGCCTGAGAATAACGTTATCTCTCAGACGCGCAAGGCACTGAACGATGAGTCGCTGTGGCCTGTCACAAGCGCACCCCGGACATATGTGTTTTCTGAGGCGGATGATCTCATTGGGTGGGAAGACATCGAGGACCACGCATGGGAAAGTGCTGAGCTGCTAGGGCTTGACAGCATGCTGCTTCGATTCAGAGACACTGGGCATTGTAATCATGCTCGAGGAAATGAGGATGAGTACTGGACTGCCGTGATGAGGACTTGGGAAGCGCGCGATGCATAGAAACGTACTTTCGATAGGCCTAATTTCCATACGTAATTTGTTCGTACTACAGCGGTGACTTATCATAGGAATGATTACAACGGTTTATTGCTGCGGTTCTCTCATATTCTAGTTTACGTTGATATCTGTCTATGTAACTTTCATTGCTGTACTGATGTTGAGGGAGAGGTTCTAACCTTTTGAAGACTTCTCTTCCGGCGGATCGATCACATTATTCTGAGTGGGACGACATGGGAGTACATTGTTTCGAAGCTCACGTGGCAGAGCGAAGAAACATTAAAGGTTTAATCAAAGCTTCTACTGGTGTTAAAGCTAGTACTAGAACAGATGTACCTTCCAGTGGATGAACTTTTGCTAAGTCTACACGACCGTCCTCCACCGGAAGTTCAATCATGGGTTTTCGGAGCCTGGACCGTGTCGACATGGGATGCTAAATACATAGCTAATACCTGACTCTATATAAATACTAGGCTTTATCCACACACATTCTGGTTTTAGGAAGACCGATTGCGTCTTTTGTATTTCTCGGCTAGACCATCATACGGATATGTCCCCTCCAAAAGACTTCATTTGAGGCTTTGGAACTGCCAGCTACCAGTAATGACAGGCTTCCTTCAATCTGGGATACGTTTTGCAACATTCTAGGGAAGATAGCAGACGCATCGTCTGGAGCTGTCGCCTGCGATTCGTATGACCGCACAACCGACGATATTGCTTTGCTCATGCAGTATGCAGTCAAGGCTTATCGATTCTCTATCTCGTGGTAAGACGAAATTTTCACTGATCTCCGTTCCATTATCACAGCTCGTAACATAATTTGACCAGGCCTTATGTAGTCCCTCTTGGTGGTCGGAACGACCCTCTTAACGAGGCAGGTCTCCGTCATTATTTCAACTTTGTGAATGCTCTCTTAGAGGCTGGAATTCAGCCCATGGTTACGCTTTGCCAGAGGGACCTTCCCAAAGCTCTTCAGTGGCAATGCGGCGATCTTCTGAACAAAGATGAATTTGTGGCAGACTTTGCACAATATGCTCGGACTCCGTTCAGGGCCCTGCGAAAAGTCATGATTTGGTTGACATTCACGGAGCCATGAATCATATCAATTTTTGGATATAATCGCGGAGTTTTCACTCCCGGCAGGTGTATTGACAGGCTGGTCGCCCGGAGTGGGGACAGCAGTCTCGAGTGCTGGGTCGTTGGCTACAATATTCTGTTGGCATATGCTGCCGCGGTCAAAATATATCCAGAAGAATTTCAACCAACAGATGGGGGTGAGATTGGCATTACTCTTAACTGTTTGTTGAATCATTAAAACGTGAGAAAGATAACTTGAGCTAGCTCGGAATATTTACTATGTTTCTGTACTTATTACTGCCCACTACACGTAGGGTGGCAAATGATCGTAGATTGATTTGAGCATCGCAAACTTTTCTTTGCCTCAAGCCCAGCGGCAACTTGTTGGAGCACAACAATATCAAGCACATTCAGTCCGAGTAATTCGTCTTAAAGTTTTGATTAATATTTTCAGGACAAACTTATTCTTTTAAATGCTAGCTGTAAGCCGCATACTATCTTCCTCACCCTCCAGTAACATGTTTCTAGACGGTGCTTCTTATATTCCCAGCCATGATATCGTGCCCCTCTAATACTAATGCCACAGAACAAGGGCACTCCAGCATCCTCGACATCTCCCGTAGCAGCAACCCCCGGACCATGTTCTAACTTTCTAGCCAGTGCGATCGTGGCTGATGTAATGGTGGCATTCATTTCCAGGCTGATCTGGGAGTTGAACACCTTTGTTAGGCCACACAAGCAGAAGATTTCCTGATCGATTGATAAGCGCCTTCCTCAGCCGGGTTATTGTGGAACTTCCGGTTGAACTCGACCTATACGATAAGCCCCAGAACATCTGAACGTCTACTCAACCAGGACGTCGCGACAGAATTGGGTTCTTCAAAGAAAGTGCAAAACGTGCGCAATCATAAGACGTTTCATTAATCTTCTCCCCCACTAGTTTCTTTCAGATACCCTAGGCAAACAACTAGTCATGCAACGTTGTCGATAGCCCCCTTCGATTTAATCCCTTGCCTTCAAATCCCACACTTTTCACTCAACCACCGCGCGAATTTCACAGAGTTCCTATCGACGAGCCTCCATTGCACGTCACCAAGCCAGATGCAGAATGTCATGGCAAGGCCGAAGCCGATACCCCATGACAGCCCATGGCTGTGCCCAGCGGCGAGCAAGCTCAATTTCACACCCCAAGCCATGAAGCTGCTGCTCACAGTCCAGTGGACCAAGTACAGACCATAACTGATCTCCCCCAAGTACAAGATCCATCGGGCATTCAGAGCGCGTCGCGGAATAGACAATCCTTCGAGTGAGGCTACCAGTCCAATGGCTGATATTGTCGCGAAGAAACGTGTTGGATCATACCCGCCAGTCGGCACCCACTTAAACCATGAGTATCCCGCAGCGGAGTAACCATCGCCTAGCATGGGCCAGCCGCCCAAGAACAGCGAAAGAAAAAACAGCACCCAGCAGATGAAAACAGTGGCCCAACGCGCCGGTCCCGTTAATTCCGGAAATTTCTGTCGCACATGTCGAAAGTCAGCAAGCAGCATTCCTGCAAGGAATAAGGTATGTTGCCAAAATCCCAGATTGAATAGGAATGCAAGTAACGTGGTAAGCAGCGGCAGGCGTACTCGAGACGACGTTCGGGCGAAGGCCATGCAGCACAGAAAGACGAGCAGAGAGCCTTGGTATTCAGCCGAAAGCGTCCATGCCTGGGGTAGTATGGTGTTAGTGGTGCTTTGCGTAACAATAATGACCATTGTGCGCCAGATGAACACCGCTTGCCCCCAAACACTACCAGGAATTGGCGGGATGAGACCATTTCCGTTGTACAAGCCCTGAAGCTGAATCAAAATAACCACCACAAATAGGACTGGGACGACAGGGAGAAAAAGTCGAATCGGTCGGCGGAATATGCTAGATGGTAGAGAGCCTATGGCTGCTTCACTCTGGCCATGATGCGATTTCTTCAGTGGTCCATACGTGAGGGCAAACCCGCTGATGACGAAAAAGACGGAGACGCTGAAATACCCGCCATAGATGAGTCGGATGAATGGAAGTTGAATTGGGTGGCGATATTCTTCAGCTTCTCCCCAGCCGTGATACATGAAAGAGTACTACAAAAGATCTTGTTAGTGACTGAGAGATCTCAAGGCTCCAATTTGGAATTCTGAGCAACGGCCGTGTGTCTGGATTGCCACTCACATCATTGGTGTTATGGTAGATAACAACAAACAGCGCCGCTAATCCGCGAAGCCCATTGAGATATGAGGTGTCGTTAGCCGGCGGAATTACTGAGCCTTCCTCCTCATGGCCCAGAACGCGTGCAACGAATGATGGGAGTACCGCCCAGAAGATTTGAAGTGCGTCTTTGGGTCTCCATCCAGAGCAGTAGCGTTGCTTGTGGTGTCGTTGCTTGATCTCGTTTATTGGCAAGTCGGTGGAGGAATTTGTCTCCCCATCTTCGAGCAAAATGTACGAGTCACCGGACTGGCTTGACGAGAACCATCCACGAATGGTTTCTAGTGAAGTCTTGTACATTGTTCGGTCGGCAAGCCGAGGCAAGAAAGCTGTGAATGGTTGATTGCTGCGTGATACTTCGAATCGTCGCCAGTTCTCTCTGCAGTACTTTTTCTCGTCAATGGCCTGCTGTCTATTCTGTTTGTCGTAAAGGTCGCCGCTCGCCTAGGCGATGTTCTCCAATGCAGCTGCGCTGCGGTTCCAAAAAGGGCGAGATGAATAGAGCAAGCCCGAGACTGGGAAATCGTTCGGGATCCCGCCGACCTTGCCGGTACTTATTATCCATGCATCGGTCCGAGAAGAAATCCATCGGACACTATTTCTTCCTCCCAACCATACCAGGTAATCTTGATCGCGGAGGCTAGGTCCACGCGAATGTCTCAGCCGCTTTCGTTGGTCGCCATCGCCGAATCAGGCAACGCTGCTAAGGATGTCCACCGAAGACGGTGATAGAATACTAACATGATGTCACTAAATCTATATTCATCACTTATTTTAGATCGGAAAAGTCCGAAAACAGTAAGATCAATTCTTTGCGTACAATGCTTCTGCGTTGGGTGGTCCGGTCTAAAGCGGGGGCATTCCAGCACCGCTCATCGGCGGAAAACGGTCAGGAAACCATAAATCCTGCACCCCTAACAACGAGTATTTGCCCGTAGCTTGCAAGTAGATAAGCTGGGGGCAGCAAATGTGATATTACTATATGATACTGTCATTTGTTTTACCCAATACGCCATCGGACTTCCCAGCCCTGCATTTCAAACCGACTTAATTGGCGTGTTGAAGTAATGCATTCGGGATGCGAGATTCCCAGACACGCGATCAGACAAACCCCCAAGGATCTGACCAAACGACTACCACCTTATCAGATCCTGGACCATGACAGGCAGCCCCGACTTCATCGAGTGATTTGCTCCAACGCCGACAAGGACAGCATTTCCGCCGTCGCGGATGTAAGCAGCGCGCTTGAACTCGTCCCCCTGATTCCCGATCAGCACATCCTGCAGCAAGACAGGATCGCCTCCGCCATGGCCACCGTCACGCTTCTCAACGTCAACCACGTACGGCTCCTCGAACAGAGGATAAACAACAATCTTGGTCTGCTCTACACCTCCTTGAATGTAGTTCTTCTCCAAGTCTCCCAGACCCTTCTCCGTCACAGGCTCCCCTCCTGCTGAATAGCCACTCTCGACTACGTTAATCTCAATACGGCCTTTGCTACCGTTGAAAACGCAGCGATAGCCCTCCCATGGAGCGTAGGCGTACGTGTTGTATGTCATGACCGCGCGATTCTTGTACTTGATGATCATTGAGAGATTGTCCTCAATAGTGATGCCGTCCGCAAAGCAGTTGCGGTCCCGGATGTATCCATCCTCATGTTCGGCCTCCAGGTAGAGCTTCTTCAGCTGTGCGTTTTCGTCGATGTGAATAGCGAAAGGGTCATTCTTGGCTTGCTCGTTATTGAGGTACCGTTCCTCGAGGTTTGTAACCCCTCGTCGCTGAGCGTTCTCCTTGCCGTAGAAGCGCAGATCACCGAGACAGTAGACGAGTTCGGGCTCAGTATTGAGCCAAAAGTGAACCAAGTCAAAATGGTGAATGGACTTGTGCATCTGAATGCCGCCGCTGGTTTCTTTGTTGCGATGCCAACGTCGCATGAAGTCTGATCCATGGGCACAATCCAGAATCCAGTCCATGTGGACTGTAGCGATCTCTCCTATGACGCCCGACTGGATCAATTCGCGAACCTTGGTATGGTGTGGGGCGTAGCGATAGTTGAAAAGAACCCTGATCTGCTTCCCGGTCCTTTTCTCGGCATCAATCATGAGTTGGAGTTTGTCTTCGTCAATTGTCATCGGCTTTTCCGTGATTGCATCACAGCCGAGCTCCATGGCCCTGATACAGTACACGTGATGGTAAAGGTCGATAGTAGTGACAATCACCACGTCCGGCTTCTGTTCAGTAATCATCTTGTCGAAATCCTCGGCTTTATATGTAGGCAGCTTCTCACCGCCAAGCTCGATGATTCGTTCATTGGCAGCGTTGAGCCTGGTTTGGTTTGTGTCGCACAGTCCAACAAGTGTCGCAACATCGGCGAAGTCTTGAAGAATGCTCCCATAGTAGAATGCCGAACGTACTCCCATGCCCACAATGGCGTAACGCTTGACCTGTCCTGGAGCCATGATAAAGAGTGGCTTGTAGAATGATGATTGACTAATTCCGGTTTGGGGAGGCAGAATGATGTGTGTTGATGAGTTTTTGGTATCTCAGACGAAGGTCCGACACAGAAAGGCCTTTAATACCTGACGGCAAGACACCAGACGTACCTCGATCCCATGGTCATTTGATACATCACCAACACACATACCATTTTGGGGTCGGCATTTCACGTGAACCATTCAACTCGCATGTCCAGAAGCAGCCGTTTAGGCAAATGATTCAGCAACAATATTAGTGAGTTTCACAAACAACTCAATAATTTTGCAGATCTGCGGCCCTGCATTGGCATTTGGCCATCTTGAAGGTAACACAAGAGCGGAAACTTCCGGATTGGGGTCGGAACGGTGTTCAGATGTGCCCAGAATGAAAATGCCATTGGATGCAGTCGCACTCGTCGGCGTAACGGCATAACGCCGAATTGCGGGGTTTCGGGCGCGGGGTGGGCGGCCGTGCATCACGTCACAAGCCTCCGGTGGTGCCGGGTGAGTTGCTTTTCTCCCCTACAGTGTGCGGCTGTGGCTGTTTGTAAACATGCACATATCGCCTGCAATTCACCAACATGCAAATCAAAAAGTTTCAACTGTCGCCGCCCAGTCTCGAGGAGCTGGCTGAGAGGCTCCGATCTCCACTGGCGGCCAACTTTCACTTTTCGTCCGTCACAGTTGAAGCTTGCCCTGACCTTCGCCAAGCTCCATTCCACCTAGCCACGCGGGGCTTGTCTGGGGATGAAAGGGTGGCCGATATTGGCGGGCAGCCTAATCTGTTTCCTCGCCCGCGGCTCGACAGCTTTTGGGCTATGGATGAACTCGCTGTAGCAATGGATATGAACAGTGGCAGTGGCAGTGGCAGCTTGATCGGCGCTGGCGCTGGCCCGTTTCACATCATTGGTCAGAATAGCGAGCTTGCTCCCAATCTCAGCTGGGAAGATGGGTTACAGACAATCAACAACCAGACCCGAATCATCAAAATTACGAAGACCACAGGCGGCGTAGGCGTTGAGAAGAGTCCTTCATTGGACTGTGGATTGATGGCAAACCTTTTCGGCTGCTCGGGCGAACCTGGGCCTGTTCTTAGGGTTGTTGCCCGAGGACGAAAGGGTGTCGAGAAGAGCTTCACCGAATGCATTCGCAAGGCACTGTACTCTGCATATGGCGACGATCATGCCGTGAGTTTGGGGGGAGCATTCGTGGTCAAGTCTGGGAAGGCGGTTTATCACATCATGCCCGACTTCCCTCCAGAACGCGATCTTCCTTTCAAAGACCGTGGCCAAGTCGACGCGTGGCTCACTTGGCATGAATTCCAGGCTCCAATGGTGTGCTTGTCAGTTCTTCACTCTGCAGATCCCGGCAAACTGGGTCTGCGGATGGAGCATACACATTGTTTCTCATCGGAAGGGAATGCTGGAGGTCACTATCACTACGAAGCGGATGATTCCGCAGAGGACGTTGAGTATGAGGGCTACTTCAACACAGCAAAAGTAATCTACAGGATAGACAATCCGGCGGCCGCTTAATCGTTATACCTATCGCCGGTCTGGAAGCGGGCGGCTCGGTAGCTAAGGATCGGAAATATACCCCTACATTGCCATTGCAGGAGACTTTAGATGAACTGAAAATTTTAAGCTTCGCCCATCGGTTCCCGACACCCTGGTCAGAAGCTACCTACCTATCTTAACCAGCTTATAACTGCAGGCTGGACGCGAAGTAGCTTATCAACTAGTGTAAACCACTTGACCCAAGTCGTCAAACATCGGAGCCATTGTCATATTCATTTGTGTGTTTTCTTCGACAAGTATAATGTTTCTAGGATTCGCCAGCGTGAGGGAGGATCGGAGTCAATATCATTACACACCAACGCATTGAACCCCTTAGCAAATGCGAATCGCAGCCGAGGCACTATCCAGGGTACTGGTATTCTCGCAGCAACGGACCACGCCCGACTTGAATGCAACATCGATTACAGAGTAACGCTTGTTGATTAACTCTGTCAAGGGTTGAGCCGTACTAACCGATGTCCTTGCGGCCCCCGCGCTACTCTTTGGTCACGGGATGTGGGAATGGCGCGCGGTGACGCCGTCAGAAAACATAAAGCACAGAAAGCCTTGCTGAAGGCTCGTGGCGAAGCAACTGACTCGTTACTAAGCTTCAATTAGGTCATTGTCCGCTTCATTTCGCTGGGCCTCCTTTTAGGCCCACTCTCGGGTCGGAATGTGGGGGACGAGATCCCGAGTAGGAAATAGAGCCTTCGATCCCGCGCGGCTCCAAGTAAAGCTTCTTCACAGTAAGCTCTTAACTATAGGTGGAGTGATGGGTCTTCCTAGGATTCAAGTCGGAGCGTCTCTTTGAAGTGGATCGCAACTTAAATGGCATCCCACTACGCAGTGGGCTGATGGGCTCAACATAAGGGTGCTGGTCAGGCCGATCCAGGAACGACGCGAAGAACTTATTTTCAGGAGGATAATATAAATCTCGACTGAGACCCAACTCCAAAAGCTTTTCAGTTCCACGACCTCGTGCAAAGATCGCAACTGGTGCGGCTGTTTTCTACCTGTCGTTCGTTCACTGATATTCGAAACAAGACGAGCCATGCCTTCCACTCTTTCACTGTTGGCAGCTAGCCTAGTGGCCGCAACCTCCGTTGTCTCGGCGTTCCCTTTCCACCTCAAGGAGACCGAGAACTGTTCTGAAGTCAATGGTACCTTCTCTATTGATAACTACAAACTTTACCCAGAGAATCTTGACTGGGATCCCGTTCACTGCAAGCTTTACATCAGGTACTGTGACCTAAACCACTTACACATCCCCCTGTCTAGATGTTTCGTGCTCATACTCACATTACTCACTACAGTGCCAACTTCAACTCCTCTGTCCTCGTCTACGATCCTTACGCAGCAACATACGACATTCTCACATTTGATGGAATTACCGGTATTGACCCGTATCATGTCTCCGGCATTGACTACGACGCGACCACTGAGTCGATTCTGATCTCCGCCAACAGCGGCAACCCGTTTGTAACCTCCGGAAAAAACATGACTGGAGTCAATAAGGTTATTCGCTGGGATACCAACACAAACTCGGCTGCCTACACAGCCGACCTGGCTGATTTTACCGCTAAGTTGGCCATCAGCAACATGACTGGCGGCGGATACCAGGACTTTGCTGAGGACAAGGAAGGCAACACGTACGTTCCTGTCGTCTTCCATGTCCCTGCTATTGCCAAAATCACCAAGTCGGGAGAGGTGTCATCTTGGTACATTGGTGAAGCAAGCACTTCAAGCAAGTACATCTATCTCGGCATCGTCTTCCACGAGAGCACCAATAAGCTACTCATCACAGCGCCTTACGTTGGTACTTTTGTCTCCTTCGACGTTTCCTCGTCCTCTCCCACCCCTACGAACATTACCATGAATTGGCCGGCAGATGGGTCGTACACGGCTAGTGACCTAGAGTGCGATGGTCTTCTCAACCCGGCACGGTACAACCGCAACGTTCTGCTCTGCTCTGAGAACGGGCTGCAGGCCATCACGCTCTGGGCTTCGAAGGACGGTTTCGCTACTGTTGATTATATCGGTCAGGTTGCGGATAACTTTACCACCGATATCGCAACTTGGGCGTCGCCAACTGCTACGGTGCAAATTGGTAACAGCATCTACATTTCGCATGAGTACTTCCATGATCTCAACGAGTTCGATGTCGCCGGCAATCGGTCGACCTTCCCCTTCGTGGATGCTACAGCAGATTTTGACAAGCTCGTTCTTGCGGCCGGGTACACCATCTCCGAGGCTTGACAGCTTCAATGGGTGAAATAGACTAAAGGGTGCGGGAATGAGTTATATAGATATTTGAGCAATCAAGAAAAAGCACTGTTTCATATTGATGTTATACCTTTGTCGTCTAGTCTGTGATCAAAAGAGATTTTCTGAGTTATTACTTACGAACAACACTCATGGCATGGTCTGTTCTTCGCCCTCTTCGGCCTTATTACTGTTTGCCGACTCGGCCGATCACCCCGCATTTTCCCCGTGCGGGGTCGCAGTGGTGGTGTTGTGGCATTGTGGGGCACTGTTGATCCAGCGGAAGGTTTCCTGTTCCGGGGCGCGTTCGACGAAGAAACTCTGCCTGTTCAAACCTGAGCGGACCATCATCGTTTGTTCCAGATTAGGGGTATTCCCGACAAATTCACATCGTTATTGAACAAACTCCACAAGCCAAAGGAGTCTCTACAGATCAACTCCTCACAGTGCCGTCTGCAGGGGTGGAGCCTCGGCTACCAAGCGGCGGAAAGAAACGGCGGGACGTTAGCCTCATGGAGATTGTGTGGCAAGCATCAAACGGCACTGCTAGGAAGCGCACTTCCCAAGATGAGTGATGCTTACATACCGCAAGGCATCTTCTGGTTAGCTAACATACGTTTCGCTATCACCGTGTCAAACATGTCGCACTCGGAAAAAAAGGTGCTACCACACCGAGACACTGCGTGACATAGATTCAAAGGCTCCACCGACTTCTGCGCAGGACGACGTTCTGGCTTCCTCCTCCACCACACGTGAATCCAGCTCGAGTCCGAGCAAAGTCAGCCCATACAATCCCGAGTCTGTTCTGGAAGACTTGTCCGAGAATCCAAAGTCAACCTCATCTCCCCAGCAATTCTACTCGTGCCTCAGACACCCGCAATCCGGCCAAGAAACTGCCTCATATGTCGAAACAGACCCCGAAACAGCAGAGAGAACGAGACGGCAAATCTTTTGGTACCGCAGGCAAAGACGTAAGGCATCTCCGCCCAAATTGTCTGAGCACCACCGCCGGTATTTGGAGGACATCGGTGCCCTCCTCGTACTACCAAAATCAACGACGGAAGCCTTGCTACCACTCTACACTACGGTCTTAAATGACCTGATTCCCATACTTGATGGTAACTGTGTGCTTCGGAATCACAGCAACGGACAAGCTTCAAACTACTTGATCAGAGGAATTTGTCTCGTTGCATGCAAGAGTAAACAAGCCGCTCCCTTTTTGCAATTAGTGGAGGATGGCGAGGTTTTGAACCCTTTGGAATTCGCTTCCAAGTTGCTTACGGGTCTGGACGCTGCTATGAAAGCAAATCTTGAGCCGGACCGTATCACGAAGATCCAAATTCTCGCTTTGATGCACTTGCACAATGATGGATTAGGTGGTGTAGACCGGTCGTCAAGCTATTTATCGCAAGCTATCTGCGAGGCATGGTCCATATCACTCCATCTCAAGGTTCCGGGAAGCCCAGATCGTAAACAGGGCGACTTCCTCTGGTGGGCACTCCGAAACTTTGACCGACTAAACAAGCCAATCATGGGGGCAGCGCCTTTCATGATCGATGATACCGACATCGCGCTTGACCGTATCCCCTTAACGGAGGGAGATTATAGATCGCAACTGATGTCAGTCTCACTCACACTTGGGGATCTTATGATCGCCGCTACACGGGTCTATAAAGCGAGTTCTAAGGCCACTGTTGATGACTGTGGCGAATTTCCGTCATTCATACAACTTACATCAAGCACGTCTTTCGACAGCTTCCACCGGTCACATGCATGTGAGTAAGCAACCTTCGCCGATTTGGGCTTTTTCTGATGTAGCAGCCTATCTCGAGATCTGGTACCACGTTGCTGCTATGCTGTCTTGTCGATACAGTGGCCCAGGCAGTCCCCAATACAACCGCCGTCTTGCATCGGCTGGAGGAGTACTTGAAATCATATCAAAAGAAGGCTCTGATCGACTCCCGCCATTGCCTCTGGTGCCATATGCTGTGTCGATGGCTACAACAGTCATTTACCGTGCGTTGCGAGATGGCCAGCGAGATCCCGAGACTGCCTGTGAGGACCTAAGTCTTTGCTGCAAGGCACTGGATGTCCTATCGGAAAGATGGACTACGGTCAAAGGTGTCGCAAGACTGGCCAAGCGCTTATTGAGATTCATCCAGAGAAGTCTTCGTGAAGAGCAGCCCCAATGTACATGTCTGGGCCCTGCGGTCCCTGACAGAGGTACATTGGCAGTTGCTTCAAGAAATGGTCTGTCCAACTCAGCGCCTGACGGTGGGAATGCACCTAGCAGTGCCAGAAGTCAGCTGAACGCTGCACCTGACTCGTTACATAGGAATCAATCCATCGACAAAGACCTGGGTGGCATATCCGAAGCGCAGCTGCAGACGTCAACTGGCGACCTTTGGGACCAGGGCGATGTCTCATATCTTCAATTGGACCGGGCGTTTTATGACATGTTCGATGATGGAATGCCTGATATCTTTCGGGATCCTGCGACTTGGGACTTTATGCATGTACCTGAGGGGTACTATGATCATTCACCAATGGAGTGATAAGAGTTTGAGACACAATGAGAATGAATTGTAGTCGTGGCACCTGCAACATTAAAAGTTAAGGCGAATGATCATGTACTCAAAAGACGTGTCTTGCAGTCCTTGCATGGAAGCTATCAATGCGCTATGTCATATGCCATATGATTTCGATAGCCCCCATGTTCCCAAAAAGGCCTCTGGGCCTGCGCTATTATCCACTGCAAATATCCAATCAAGATCGATACCTAATTCGGCTCCCATGGCGTCCGCATTTGCTTGAGCCTGGGGTGAGTGATGCTGCTGCCGTTTGCTCGGTTGGGTGGTTGATGCCGGGGAGTAATCACGAGGTGAGGAATTAGACACTGAGTCTTTTCTTAATCTCTTTCTTGGAGTCGAAGATGTTGCTGAAGACTGCCGACGCAACCGATTCGACCTGGCTCGAATTTCCCATTGCCTTTGTAGCATTATGAGGAAGTCATGAGCTCTTTTGGCGTTTTCCCAAGAAGATGAGAACTCATCCAGGGCTCTGAAGCATGCACTCAGCTGTACTCCCAGGTCGTCACATCCCGGCCTTTGGATGTGAGATACAGTCGCGAATATCAACAGCAGTGCAGCCGAGCAGGTGATCGTTACTCCCTGTATGTTCATACGCTTCAGAGTATATCTCTCTTCGTACAACTGAAGGATCTTGGCAATTGCCACAGCAGAGTCGACGCATGCTTTGCGGGCGTGAATGTGACCTGGACCTTGAGGTGGTTGGGGCTGGATGTAATGCTTTGACATCCAAGGTCGGTGAGCATGTATTATTGCTTGATGATAATGCATACTATACTATATCAGCATAAAATCCGCGATTGACTGGATAAGTTTTCTACTTGTTGAAACCTACTGCAGTAATAATACGTGAGGCAGGTACGGCGTTTTCGTATCTTTCTCGTCGGTTTGGACCTGAAGTACTGAAGGCAAACAGTCTTTCCACTCCTTGAGTTCTTTCACTGTCTTCTGGTTCATCTCTTGCAGCACGCTTGGTGGAATTCTTTGGCTTCCATATCTGCAGCAAATTAGGTCAACGATTGGGGTTCATGAAAGCGACCAATACTCACAAAGCATGGCCGAGAGGCGCCATGATGTCGCAAAGAAGTGCCCTCTGGGAGCAAAGCAGTTCAGCATGGTCTGGCTGGGTTATTCCGCAGGAATCAGGGGAGACATAGGCAGACCAATGCCCTGATATGCTACCGTCTATGCCGGGCTTTGCGACAGTGACGTCTTCCATGTTAATTCGGAAGGGGCGGCCAAGGTGCAATCCCCAAAGGCTGTCAATTGATGAGCTCGACAGTTGCCTTGGCGGACGAGGAACATGCTTACTGATCAACGGTGTATGCCCCCCAAAATACAGTTTTGCGCAGGTCTGCTTCCTCTTGACTGATTGAGCCCGTTCTAACATATGGCGTCATGTCAACATGCAGTGCCAGATCAAACGCAAGCCTCATGGCCATCCCTATCCATATCATTAGCTCGGAATCTTGCGACATTTTGCAGGTACATGGAAATACCGCTGTAGAGCCATCCGCGTGCATCCCGCTTGCACCCAATGTCATGGCCACTTAGAATGACCATCGCCTGAACTGTAGCAACAGAAGGGCAGTCAAGCTCAATATCTAATAGTGCTTTGGCCCTATCAGCGAAGAAGTCCGCTAAAGACTTCGGAAATGTAACGAATGTTGGGTGGTGACGCGATTCAAACGCAGCCCCCAAGGCGCATCTAGGACACACATCAGTATCAGTGCCGACTCTAAAATCTCGGTTGAAGAACAAACTCACATGGAGTTACGCAGAGCTTCTGAATAATATGGGTTATCAACCATATGATCACACCACTGCACCTTGGCCTTTTGGTACATTTCCCGCTGCACGACGTGTGAGGCAGGATCTTGCCATGTGAAATAAAGGTTCACTAAGTGATCCTCAATCTCGTTCGGTACGTCCTTTCCTATATCCAGACGATCCAGATATTCCTGGCCATCATTTCTCACTGTTCGGTGCACCGTCATGTTGTCAGGGGCAGGCATCTGTACCAAATTGAAATTTGATGTAGGGCCATAGTACCGTATTTGACCGTCCGATCCGATCTGCAGAGACCCTACACGCTCCGACAAGCGATCTACGAGCTCCTCTGTGCTTTCAGCGTCGCTATCGTCGCTACTAATTATTGTTGGAAACGAGATTGAGGGTCCGAGGGTACGTTCGGGTTTGTCTGGGACGGCATGGACGTCATTTGGTACAGAGAGTCCTTCAACGGTCATATTTGTTGTTGCTCTGGTATGCACAATGTCAACGAGATCATCTGAGCTGTGCCAATCCCAATCAAGCTCAAGGCTGTCAGGCTGTTCATTCGATACGATCTTTCGGCCCTCCCGCCATTCCAGTGGCAAATTTGAGATCAGGCTCTCAACCTGCGGAGTGTCAAATGTTGTAACGTTCTCGTTGACGGTCGTCGTTGGAATACAAAGCCGATCTGTGTCGTTAAGTCGAGCTACCGGACTGGAAGCACAATCTGGACCGACGCTTGTTGAGTTTGCCTTATCTGGCTTTGTACTCATACTCCCACTGTTCTCTCCTCGTGGATAAGCGTGTATCAGGCCAACGTTTTTCAATACTCTCAGCAGTACGGTCTCATCATCCTCTTGCATGGGCGGTGGCAGCAGGTCGCTTTTCTCGATGAAGTGAGTTAGTTGGTCAACTCTGGCGCAGAGTAGTTCGATCGCTACTCGGAGAGATAATCTATTGATGTTCATTCGGGTCAGAAGTGGTACTTGTCTGCATGCATGATTGACCTACTTCCGTTTATCCTCATTTGCCTGGAACTGGCAATTCTTGCCTTTACGCTTGCAGTTTGAACAGCATGGGGTCTGACCATCACACTAAGATTCGTCAATTGATTTTTTTCTGCTTGGGTGTAGCACTCCAATGGGCAAAGGTCTTCAGGAATTGGAACTGACTGTCGCCTCTGGCGCGTACCTTTACTTTACTTTCGCGGCACGGCACACACGCTGTCGTGACATGCTTCCTCTTGTTTGTCGACTGCGTTGCTGAGGCCATATTGGTGCGGTAATCGTCTCAATCTCCCGCCAGCATTCATCTGATTAAGTGCTTCAATCTCGGTGCAGAATCTCAGGTATGGAAGAGTAGGAGTCGAGAGGCTCAGCGTTGTGTTTCCCCGCGCTTGACATGGATGCAGTGTTCGGAATTCAACCCCCGTTGACCCACAAACTAGGGGGCACCCGGGTACCCCACACTTGTCTCCAACCTCCCCGCACTCCGAGCTGGGGCACATGGAGAAGAAGTTGGGGATAACCGTGAGCTTTTTCTTCTGCTTGTTCTCTCCTCCTGAGTTGCTCATCGGTGGTCAAAGGATCTATCCTCTGTGCGTATCAAATCTTAGTTGCCAGTCCTCTATATCTATTCTTCACAAAGTCGCCCCATACGAAAGAATCGCTTCCTATTTTCATTGCATGCAGCAATTCTGAACTCTGGGTCCCATCAGATACTTGATCACTAGAGCTGCGTCCTACATAAAGGTTAATCAGGAGCAGTCACAGGCAGATCTGTGCGGTAGGGGGCATTTGATGGTAATCTCAGTATTGAATAGGTAACTCGAGCTCTTCCTATTCAGTGTCGATTGTTTACTTTGAGTAGCCATTCGTTCATAGTGCCGTCGCATCTTGATTTCCAATCGTAATGCTCTTGATGTTTTGATACTCTTCCAGTCCGTACAGACTACCTTCGCGACCGTATCCACTCTCCTTGACGCCTCCAAATGGAGCCTCGGGGGCACTAATCTTGCCAGTGTTCACACCCACCATGCCTACCTGCAATTTCTGGGCCACGCGCATTGCTCTGCTGATATCTCGCGAGAAGAAATAGCCAGCAAGGCCGAATTCGGTGTCGTTCGCCAGACGCAACACATCTTCCTCCGTTTCGAACTCAAAAACGGGGGCAAGTGGGCCAAATGTCTCGTCCTTGCTCACGATCATGTCTTGGGTGACTCCCGAGAGTACTGTGGGCTGAAAGAAGAAACCTGGAGACTGGAAAGGCTGTCCTCCTACTTCGACTTTGGCTCCTTTGGAGGTTGCATCATGGATGTGCTCTCTAACCTTCTCAATGGCAGCTTTGTTGACCAACGGACCCTGTGTGGTCAAGGGATCCAGTCCTTGACCGACTTGCAAATCAGAGACCTTTTTTACCAGCTTTGAAGTGAAATCCTTTGCTACCCTCTTCTGGACGTAAAGTCGGTTCGCACTGAAATGATACGGGTCAGAACCAATTTCAATCGAAGCAGCGCATCTGAGGAAGGTCCAGAAAAAGACGGCCCACTAACCACACACAGGTCTGGCCGGAGCAGCGAAATTTGCAGAACATTGCGCCTTCCACTGCCAGGTCCAGATCGGCATCATCAAAGACGATGAATGGAGCGTTTCCACCAAGCTCAAGGCTGACCTTCTTGAGGGTCCCGGATGCCAGTTTCGCCAGCATTTTGCCAACGCCGGTTGACCCTGTGAAACTGATCTTTCGAACCAAGGAGTTCGTAGCAAGCTCTGTCGCTGCTTGACGGTTCTTGGTAGGGCAGACCTGGATCAAATTCGAAGGGATACCAGCCTCGACTGCTAATTTTGTCAAGGCTAGACATGTGTACGGTGTTTCGCTCGGGGGTTTAATGACAACAGAGCAGCCGGCGGCAAGAGCTGGTCCCACCTTTCGGGTGATCATCGCAGCTGGGAAATTCCATGGGGTAATAATCCCGCAAACACCTACCGGCTCCCGGATCGTAAGCAGTGTGGTATGAGGCGTAGATGAGGGAATCGTCACGCCATATGCCCTCGTCGCTTCTTCGGCAAACCAGGATATGAAATTCGCTGCATATACGACTTCTCCCTTGGCTTCACCAATCGTTTTCCCGTTTTCGAGACTGAGAATTGTCGCCACTGCAACGTCCATCAGCGTTCGGTACTGAGTGGGATGGCAATTGTGCTGATGCCGATATGCTTACGATCATCTTGATTGGCAAGAATGAGATCATACCATCTTCGCAAGAGCGCCCCTCTCGAAGTACCAGTCGTCCCTTCGAAGAAATTTGCTTGTGCTTGATGGGCACTTTCAATGGCGTTCCGAAAGTCCTCCACATCACAGTCGGACACCTGCCCAAGCTTCGTGCCCGACGCCGGCTCTTGACTTAGGTCAGCTCCAAGTCCTGAAGGCCTTCACAGAGCACATACCAAAGACGTCGAATTTCTTAGTTTTCGAAACCCACTTCCCGCCAATGAATGCATCTGAGATGAAGAGTTCATTGTTGTTGAGCTGAATGTCGACACGCAGTTTAGTCGACATCCTTCTGCTTTCCGACCTGGCACGTTCACATACCTTTGCTAAAGCATCGCGGTGGTAAGTAGCATTGGTGTCTTGACTGTTGGCGGTAGAATGCATGTTGACGCTTGTAAGATTGACCGGAGTATAGAGACAAGGATAATAGAACGAGTGAAGACGTCGATAATTAGCAGTTCAAATACGCTCATTATCAATATCAAGTTGCACAAGCGACTGTTTATCAACTTATGGATCTTATCACTGTGCCGAGCGGGATTGATACTTTTGGCACTATTCCTACGCATTGGTAAAATTGAGCAGCATTCTGCTGGTGGTATGCAATTCCGTCAACACGTCATTTTCTGGATACGGAATTGTTGATGCCCCCTTTCCCCCCGCGATCTCCCATATCGCCAAGACAAGGTTGTTCCTTTGATTTGCGGCCGGGAAAGAAACCCGACCCCGCATTCGTGCACACAGTGATTCAACACGACAGCCCTTCGGAGCATAATTCCGATCACAGCCAAATTTCCAGAGTATCACCCAACACACATGCGGCTATTCCTGAATCAGTCGCTACTACTTTAGCCCTCGACCAAAAATAGAACGCACAACCACACACTAATTTGGCAACCACAAAACGAAAGACGAGGTTCCACGCGTTCTTGTTAAAAGCATCGTTCTTCTGTCCAGCCAACCAACATCTTTTAGTGACATGGTTTGTTTCGGGGCTGATAGTCAGGCATAGGGATGGAGAACATCACGCGATGTCAGTAGAAATTTGGCGTAATTATCTCGTGGGACAAGACATTCTTCAACAATGTTTGCAATCTATTGATCTAATTCTGCGTCTGCACCGCCTTCTTTAGGCCTCCACCCTTCTTAGTTCGGCAATCACAGTGCAAACTTCGAAACAGTCGAGATTCCTGCGCGCAGGGCTGTCTCCAAGTATCCCATAATGGCAACACCTTCGACCAGCCCACGGTAGCGACTAACGGCTGCCGCGAGGCTCACTAGAGCAAAGACTGTCGAAATGGGTGACATTGTGCTCAGCCAGCGACGGATTGTAAGTAAAGGCCAAATGGCACTTCCTCCACTCATGTTGAATGCAGACCAGTCGGGGAAGTAAGTCTTGAACCAGAATGACCTTGCCAATCCAGGCCATGACGCCGCGTTCCTTCCATAGTCTCCAATGTACCAGTTGGAGCAATCTCCAGAAAAGACTGTATCACGCAGAGATTTGTGAATTGCATTCGTTTCTCTGTCCTCTGCGGATTGCTTGACCTCAATGACAGCAGCCTTGTGATCAATGAGGGGTGTGAATAGGGACTTGATCGCGTAGTCAACCTGGGTCTCGCAAGCGAACAGGGCTGAATTATTCGCAGGGAAGGTGTTGGGGCCAAACAGAATGGCGAGATTGGGAAAGTTGTGCACGTGTGTCCCAAGATAGGCCTGGGCTCCGCGGCACTGTTTCCATTGGTCGTGTAAGGAGATGCCAGTCGAGCCGACAATGTGCATCGGCGTCAAGAATTGGGAAACCTGGAATCCTGTTGCCAACACAATGATATCGAAGTCATCTTCGATTCCAGAAGAGCTGATAATTCCGGTCTCGGTGATCTCTTTGATTCCCTCGGGAAGAAGCTCGACGTTGGAGAGATTGAGACTTTCAAGGTAGCCGGGGTCGAAAATGCGACGCTTGCAACCGAGGGGAAAGTTGGGAATAATGTGATCCCAGTATTTCTTTGGCGCAACGGACTTGATGTACTTCTTCGATTCTGCCTCGGCCTCCGCGCGAGCCTTCAGTCCCTTGGGAGTTGGGAAATATGTCGTTGTCTCCTCGTCGGCATCGAGAAAGATCTGTAACCGCAACCATCGCATCCACAAAGGCACCCACCGAAACATGAACCTTTCTGTCTCCGAGTATTGCTTGTTCGGGCGGGCATGAAACCATTGTCCACTTCTGGCATACTGCTTGACGAGAGCTGCGTGTTTTGCTACGGCCGGCACCACTTGCGCAGCACTGCAGCCATTGCCGATAACCGCGATCCTTTTGTTCTTGTAATCGACGCCATGATCCCATCGCGCTGTGTGAAACATATGCCCCTTGAACTTTTCCATCCCAGAGAATTTGACATCTCGGGGAAAGGAGATTGCGCCCACAGCAGAAACCAGGACCGAGGCATACCGAGAATACTCAATGCCCGTCTGGAGATCCTTTAGATTGACCTCCCACTTCGAGATATCGGTGTGCCATCTTGCTCCCATACACTCAACTGAGGTGTGAATGTGCTTGTGAAGATCAAACTTCGAACAGGTATCTTCCATATCTGCGTAGCATTAGTCAGGGAATATTTAGCGATCGGTCGAAGGAGTCTCACATTGAAGAATTTCGGGCTGCTCGCAAAGCTCCTTCGACCAGTTCGGATTCATATTGAAGCTGAAGGAGTAAAGATGTGACTTCAAGTCACAGCCGCTGTACACATCTGTTAGAGTATTCTTCTTTGGAAACATCTAGTCCGCCAACGCTTACCATCCTGGATACGTGTTCGTTCTCCAAGTTCCACCAACACCATCAAGCTTTTCGTAAATCGTGAAGTCGTCAAAATGCAACTCATGCTTTAACCTATACGCCATGGCAATGCCGGCAGGGCCAGCACCAATGATGATGGCATTGAGCTCCTTCGCGTATTGTGACATTCTGGTTTCGGGCCTGGGCGGATGGGCGAACAGATTGTAGCTATTGTGTCGAATGAACGATTGCAGTGACTGCGCGAAAACAAGACGCAGTCAGGTTTCGTAGAACACGGGCGGTTCGTCAAAGGGTAGGCTTCTCTTGCTTCTTTTAGGAATATCGCTTACCATACGGACATGGGCCCGGTGCCAGAGCCGGCGAAATTGGCTGCCGAATCATTGCGTCGCCGCCTCGGGAATCAAATTTCGAAGTTGTGCTGATGGCGGTGTCTATCGTGATCAGAATTCCACCAAAATCTACGATCCTGGCCAGAAGGGGTATTACAGGCATTACTTTCGATTTCCGTCACATGCCTACAGGTTCTGATGGTTCGGAATTCTCGTTCCGACAGCGGTGCCTCCATGAAATCCGACCGACAGTGTCTGGACAAGCCCCACAACGTACGCAATCCTAGCTCCGAGACTCACGTCACTCGCATGGTGGATCTTGGACAAGTTGATCTTATTGAGCCGCAAGAAAACGTAGCCCAGCGAATCACCTCCCGCTACTTCTGGACCCCACGTCTGATGCATCTTTTGGCACACTCCTCGTCAAATCGTAGTTTGCACGATGATCTTTGGCTTTGGTTACATCTTCAATGAACAATGTAGAATGATGAGATTGTCTTACCGATGGATTTTCACCATAGATTTAATATGCTATCTCTGTTTCCCGTGTTGTGTTATTGCTTGTCAGAAAATACGTGATTGCAGTCTTCTTTGCAGAACCAGATACGTTCCATCTTGATAGTTCATGTGTCATGAAAGTTTGATTTTGAAGGCCTAATCGTAACCGCGGGTTTATGTACCTCTATTGAAAAACGGTACAAGTTCAACTACATTTGTCTACTTCAGATTTGTCTCCATCCTGCCATTCTCGCATTTTCCTCCCCCAGATCATCCAAGTATCTTCGCACACGCTTCACAATGCCCTTGGAATCCAGTTCGAAACGGTCATAGTTGCTGGGGTTAGAGGCGGAGTACCCGTAAGAAACCATGCTGATACTCGCTGTGACGTATCTTGCCCATGTCGTTGCAACGTATTCTTCCACACTCACAATCGGAGTACCGTCCGTAGGGAAAACGCTGCGGCGATACTGCTTACTCTGTTGATCAAAGTGGGTGAAGCTGGGACAGCTGACAACACGAGTTGGAACGCCACAAGTAGATAGCGTTTTCGCGGCCTCGACGGCATAATGGAGATTTGTACCGCAACTGGCCAGAGTGAGCTTGGCTCCAGCCACATCTTCGATGACATATGCCCCTTTCGCGACCTTAAATCGATCAGTCGACGGCACTACGCCAGTCGGATCTCTTCCTAGGGATAACATCGTTGGGCCCTCGCGGTTGTTCAATGCGAGCATCCAAGACCCGATTGTTTCCTCCGCATCGCAAGGCCTGATGTACGCAAGATTAGGCATCGCGCGATACAAGGAATCGATCTCAACTGGTTGATGGGTTGGGCCGTTTTGTCCCTCGGCGAATGAATCGTGAGTGGCGATGTGAATGACCGGTAAATGGCTCAAGGCCCCCATGCGGACGCCAGGTGCGGCCTGGCGATGTTGTGTCAGCTCTTCACCATGTCGAAGAAATAACGAAAGGACAGTCAGGAGCTTACATAGAGATAAAACATGAAGAATGTTGCAGTAATTGGCAAAAGCGTGCCAGGCCCATATGCAGCCAGTCCGTTGGAGATTGCTGCCATTGCATGCTCGCGAATTCCGTATCGAATGTAACGCCCTGCATAGCTGACAGACGGGTGGCATACATCGGCTTCGAGGTAAGGGACCTTGTTTGAGTTGACGAGATCGGCGCCCCCGCCAAATAAAGTCGGGCAGGATTTCCAGAGCTTTTCCAGAAGAACACCGTTGACCTCACGAGTTGCTAGCCCCTCGAATTGGCCTGCCTCGATTTCACTGAGCATTTGAGGTGCTTCAGTCCCGCGGTCGCCATTTCTGGCTCCATGGAACTCCAATGACTTCTCCGGGTACGCCGATGCATACTTCTGTAACATGCTGTTCCACTCTTCTTCAAGCTCCTTTCTGCGCGTCTTTCGCTCGCGAAAGTAGTCCAGAGACGGTTGTGGGACTTGATGCGTAGCTGTTGGGTCTTGTCCAGCTAAGCGCTTCGACAAGGCCACACTTTCGGCATCAAATGCACCATGATGAGCCTTGAAAGTACCAGCGACATTGGTACCCAGGCCGATGACTGTCCGTATGTTGATAAAGACGGGCTTGCCTTTCAACGACTTTGCGAATCTGAGCGCTGAGACCACTGCACTAACATCGTGGTTGCCATCGGCGATCTCCAAAACATGCCATCCCGAGGCGCGCATCTTTGCATTGACATCCTCAGTGTTGATCCAGTCAAGCGGTCCGTCGCAGGTTACTTGGTTATTGTCGTAAATCAGTACCAAGTTGTCGAGCTGCATACTACCAGCGAGGGAGATAGCCTCGAGAGCAACCCCCTCCATGAGGCACCCGTCACCAGTCATGCAGTATATTCTCGATTGCACGACATCAAGTCCTGGTTGATTGTAGCGCGCCGCGAGATGTTTAGATGCGATGGCGAGGCCGACAGCATTGGCGATGCCTTGGCCCAAGGGGCCTGTCGTGACTTCCACTCCAGGAACTTCGATTTCAGGGTGCGCGTGGCAAATTGTCTTGTAGCCGTTTGTTTTGGCACTTCCATATCCTCTGATCTCGTTCATGGAAAAGTTGTCATATCCAACCAAATAATTGAGTGCATAAAGAAACATGGCGGTGTGGCCTTGACTGTTTTGTCAGCTCCAGTACAGCTATAGACGCCAAATAATTCCAATTCCTTACCGTTTGAAAGCACAAATCGGTCTCTGTCAAACCAGCTGGGGTTGTTGGGGTTGTAACGCATGACATGTTTGTACAGGGCTAGCCCGATGGCCGCCATACCAATGGCTGATCCCCCGTGGCCGCCTCCATTTTGATTGCAGATATCGAAGATCAAGTTTCGCAGAGCAAGCACGGCAAAGTCGTCGTCGTTCAAAGTCTCTCTCCAGCCTTTCAATTGGCCATCGATATGTCCGTTGAGGCCGAGGGCAGGTGGCGGTGGCACAAAGCTTGGTTTGTCTCCGTTAAGGAATGGTTGCTGCCCTGAGCCTGAGGAGACACTCTCGATGTGAAAGCTGCACTGATTCTCTGATGGAGGCATATTTGGGCGTGTTGTACAATGTTGCGCGATATCTACCTCGATTGAACTGAAATGGCGACGCGGTGAGGTGTTATTCTCGTTCAACCAGTGAAGGGAAGATTTTCGACAAACAGAGCTGCGCGTGTGGCAGTCAATTGTCTTTGAGGCTTTGTTATAGTCAATGTCATCACCCCATTTTGCCGCCGAGGTGCTTCCCGTTTGTCGGGTTGATGATGGCTAGTCCTCGGCCGGCACCCGGCTTTTGTGGGGCGCTCGGCCATCAAATCCGTGGCTGTGAGCATCGGGACTCAATGTCCGGCCACAACCTGGAATGAAGAATTTCCATGCGGAAATCGGATCAAGCGCTATTACTCTGCATGATCCCAGTTTTATTTGATGCCAATCATTGCACTTCCGATCACAGAACGGCTCAATAATGCCGGATGGAATTGATCATATGTCTTGTGAAAATGATTGCGGGATTCGGGTCCGGAGAGTGCCATGTCAGCCCAATCTTCAAGCACATGGTTTGAGCTCTTAAACTGATCCTTCCATTAAGATTGAAATGAAAACTTAATCTACGTGTTCTCTCCTACATAGTCGCAGCATTCCTCTTGACTCAGAAGCCAACATCGACTTCGACCCGTTGTCTCGACCTCGCAACCAACTTGTATAACTTCTCTCCCGATACTAGAATATGGCTTCTAGCATCGTTAATGCGCCTCAGCCTAAGGCGGATGTCAACCGGTACTTGAGCAACTCGGTGCACGATCTTCTGTCTCTCAAAGGGCGAACCGTTGTAATCACAGGCGGCGCTCGCGGACTCGGGCTAGCGTTTGCGTTAGCAGTCGCCGAAGTAGGAGGTAACATCGCCATTCTTGATGCAGCCCAAGAGCCCCATGATCACTTTTATCGAATTGAGCAAGAGCACGAAGTCAAGATCAAGTACTACAGGTAGGCATCATTTGCGACTTGTGGCGCAAATTTACGTGGCTGACTAGGCCTCGCCACCATAAGGAGCGACGTCACAAATTACGATATTTTGAAAGAGACATTCAGCAATATTGTCAAAGACTTCGGTCGAATCGATGGGCTGTGAGTCATCCTTGGTCCAATATTTGAGCTTCTCTGGGTCTAACGCATCGCAGTGTCACTGCCGCTGGCATTTGTCCCGACGAGCCATTCTTGCAAAGAAGCCCCGAGTCCGTGGCCAAATGCATGAACATCAATGTCCTCGGCACTTACTATGCCGCGCAGCTAGCAGCTGCACAGATGGCTAGCCAAGAGCCAACTGATTTCAACCCCCGTGGAGGCTCCATCGTCATGATAGCATCAATTGCTGCGTATGTCGCTAGCAAAGGCCAGACAACCAGTGACTACTGCTGCAGTAAGGGTGCAGTGGTTGCCTTGGCCAAAGCTCTCGGTGTCGAGCTTGCTGCGAGCGGCATCCGTGTCAACAGCATCTCTCCAGGGTCTGTTATATATTAGTCTGAGTTTTCAGAAGTTAACACTAACATGGTGCATAGATACATGGCGACTGACATGACGCTGGACTTGTGTAATCGTTATCCCCATCTTGGAGAAATCATGAACACAGAGCCACCCATGCGGCGAATGGGTGATCGCACTGATCTAAAGGTTCCTGTGGTGTACCTGCTGTCAAACGCGAGCGCCTATCACACCTCAGATGATATTTTGATAACCGGAGGCATCCATGCTGGCAGGCTGATGTAGAGTAGAGTTAATAATATGGGCCAAGATGGCATCAACGATCAGCATCTCAGCTTCGTACCAAGTTCAGATCAATTGCCATGTGTCCCTTTTTTTTTTTTTTGGTGAGATGACAGGCCCAAAACTGATCTACTTATTTTCATTTATGTTAAAGTGCCTGTTTTGACATCTCGGTAGTAGTTCATGGGATGCGCAGCGACCGAAACAATGGCATCCCGCACATTATCCATCTCTTGTGTCAAGTATTCAGCCGTTTTGCGTGCTGCGCCAAGGCCTCGTTCACTTATTTCACTGAGTTGAATTGGCTGTCGAGATTGGAATAATTGGTGCGATTCAGCTGTGCTAAAAATTGCGACTCTATGCTGCCGACATGAATACTGGCGTAAACGGAATCCGCCTTTGTCTTGAACTTCATTATTGCCAAATCGACATGCCTTTGCTTCAATTCCCGACCGTTGTTGAAACAAAAGGTGCTCGGCACCTCCTGCTCGTATGCGGAACTGACCTTTCGAACGCAATCATGTTAAAAGCTGTGGACCCCTTTCTTAACTTCAACCTACTCCAAAACATTTCTCCCACATTTTCCCGCACCCTCTAGTACTGATTTTACCTACCATAGATAGCAGGCGCCTATTCTCTACGGTCATGGCTCTGCTTATACACACGTCTTTGGACCAGGCTTACAGCTGCCGACTCATCTCTCGTCGCCGGCTCAGTAATTCCACAGGCATAGATTGACCTTGGAGGGGCTTCAATTCAGAGAACAAGGCTTCATCCTACCAGGAAAGAGCTGAGCACAGGAAAACTAGTCTCGTTATTACGCGCCCGGCTGTTCATTGAAGTATCACCAATAGGTAAAACCCCTTGTGGGAGGATGAAAACCTAACACCGTATGAGGTCAGACAATCCTGATAAATCAGTTTCCGTTGCGTTACTAACTTCTTGAGGTTTGGAATGAACCTTTGCTGTGAAGTTCTTCATTATCTACGCTGCATTGCTAAACTCATGATTATCTCCTCCTTCTTGGATTGGGGGCCGGTTCTACAGACAATGTCGGCTGAGATCTTCCCTTCTTCGCTTCATGCGAAGGGCGTGGCCTACACAACCATGCCAAACTAGCTAAAAGACCACGTCGTCACTTCACCGCTCTAACTCAGGACGAGGGTTTTGGAGATTATCTCTGCTTTTTTGCGTCTTCTGCTTGCCGGTCATGGTCTCGGTCCGGCTTACAGTCTCGGAGACGTGTGGCCCCGCCTTTGAATAGATGGATCAGACTTCGTCGACGATAGCTAAGAAGTGAAAAATAATCGCCCGCGCCCTGATTAGAAGTGCGATGTCCACTCGGGTCTGCCGGAATGCAGCCAGGGGCTGGAGAACAACACTTGATTCAACCAGGCTTGGCCGCGCTAGGGGTTGGCGGCCAAACCGAGAAGCCAGCCTGGAACCCAAAGAATGTTGGCAATGGCAGGTTGCCGACGGTCTCCTACGTTTAGCTTCGAACAGTTTTGGTGGGTCATGATGTTGCCGAGTCACGGTGATACCAAGTGGTGGTGTGCAAGTCATCGGCTCGGTCTTTGCAACTCCGTATGATTAGTGTGTGGCAGCAAAGACGAGAAATCAACGAGCCATCTCCGATGCTTAGGCTTTAAGTCACCAGTCATGCACAAGATAGCTTTTTGTTAGTATCATGAAGGCCCCTTAACAAGCGAAGGATGACCAGGGCAGTCGGACAGGGACCGCTTCCGTCGTCAGCGTATTTGGAATATGCCATGTCCGATTGGACGTGTTGTTGTGATAAACCCCAGATTTCCTGGAACATAGACCGGCCGGGCTGTGTCAGAGTCCGGTGTGAGAACTGATGTGCTGTTGCCCAAGTGAATTATCCGTAGCATCCATACTTTAGCTACTATCATCAAGCTTCCTTGACAGCGCCTGGAGGGCTGTTTACTGTCGGACTTGGCTCCGTACTCCGACCACGTGACTCTTTAATCAGGAAGGCAGCTGTCAGATCGGTCGGCATAGCACGCCGTGAAAGCCGACCTTTGGCGCACGGCAGCAAAAGAGACTTCGGACGGCCCCACAACTGATAATGTTCCCCAAATTTGGGCCTGGACCATTCCCAGATGTGCATTCTTCAACTTTTGCATGCTACTCTCCAGAACAACGAAGATATTGATTCTTTACGTAAAATAAACCAGCTGCTCCTTGACTACCGACGTCATTGATAGATTTCCCCAGACTATTGTGCTGCGCTAGTGCATGTTGTAGCCAGGCTGGTCAGCATGTTTGTACTCTACATCCGGCTTCCCCACCCCTTCCCACGTTTTCAGCTCCACGCTCAGCATCGACAGGTGGAGGCACAGTTATGAGAAGAGGGTTAGCGGGGGTGGAGGTCAGGGGTGAGGACGTTGAAACGATGCATTGTTCCTGTTTGCCAGCGGCTTCTTCTAGGTGCGCGGTCTACACAGGCAGTTTCTTACGGGACGGACAGCTCCCAATCTTCGCGTGAGGCAGATTCCATAACAGGCATTCCGTATCAATGATTCTCAGTGCATACGGTCGCCGCGCTGGCGCACAGGTTTCACTGCCTCATTCCTTCGCTGCGGGTGGCGACCCAAGACCATCATCGCATGTACGTCGCGTGACTTTGATTGCGCCGCAGCTGAACGAGGCTTTGGAGGTAATTGACTGTCTCGCCGGAGAGACAGCACCTGTCTGGGGTCTTGGTCCGCCTTGAGCTGCCTCGCTAGCTACTGCCGTCATCAAGGGCCAATCCGAAGTGCAGGGGGCCAACGGAGTCACCCTATCTGCACACACAGGCAAGACAAGGAGTGGCAGCACTCGTCGCACTAGATTACAGGGAGGAATCAGGACTTGTGGTGTCGATGCTCCATCCATGAGGTGTATTTGTTTTGGGAAGTTGGAAGTTCAGGGAATTATCGACAAGAATAGGAAAAGAGATACCGCGGCATCATGGGCCGGAAAGAATCACTCGGATTGTTAGTCCGACACGGCGCCTGCATGTACCTAGAAGGGTAAGGCGCCTGTATTCATCGTTTCGGCTTCGGGAGGCGCTGCCATGTGCTCCGAGCCGCAATGCATGTACTCACCAGCTCATCGAATAACGCATGCTCGTCGGCTGTTAGAACTACAGAAGCTCGCACTTATCTCGGGCTTTCAGGCGATCCTAGCCTCATCTTTATCTCAACTTCGGAGACGACTATCAGACTACACGCGTCTACTCTTGACATGCTATCTTATCTTTGTTTTTTTTTTCGCCAATTCCTCGC